AGACTCCACAGCTATTGGGGGGTGTTTGCGCCGTTCGATCACCGGAACGCAACGACCAAGATGCGAGTACACGGACGAGACGCCAAGCACATGCCATTGGCGGTCCTTCATGTCCCATCGCAAGATCTTGCACGAGAGGATGGACGTATCACAGACAGCGGCATCATGATCGTTGGTCGAACGATACCTTTCCATTTCGTCAAGGAGGTATGGTTTTGCGTCCCTGATCCTCGAGATACACACTCTTTCGCTCTGGTGGAAAAGATCTACGATGAAAGGTTGGAGAAAGAGCTGGTGTTGGACTACAATGCATCACCGTTGCTTCCTGAGTTCGAGAGATACCGAACGCCAAGCAAGATCATGGAATTGCTTTGCGAGATGCCTCCTGGACCCCACGACACAAGCAAGGAGCAGATCATTCGAGACCTCACGACTGTCCTGGAGTCCCACAGGGAGAACACGGTTCGGCATCACTACATGGACAAAGGAATCAAGTTTGTCATCAAGAATTGGCGACCCGAAGACCTACGCAGAGACGAGGATGGACGGAGAATGAGGGTATGCCCGGCATGCTACAACATCGTTCCAGCATGTTTCTCCCGATGCACGTCTTGCTGGTCACAGTTCATTTCGAGCGGATATTACCAAGGTTCTCCACAACGGGAGACTCCTACGGAGATCCCCAGTGACTTCATTGCTCAGACAATGGAAGCCGCAGCAGCCGCAGTGCCTGAGGCGCCCGAAGAGGAGCAGGAAGCCATGGAGGTAGAGACCGTTGCGGAACCTGAAGAAATCCCAGAACCATCTGTCATCGCGGAAGACGATCCAGAACAGGAACCTGATGAAGAAATGGACGTAGAGCCTGGAGAGGACTTTGATGACGCAGTTCCAGAAGCAATCGCACAGGAACGTCGTCCCGTCTTCATTACCGGCCAGTCTTTGAACATCGATCCTGAGCTACAACTTGCACGTACCGCCATGCAGCCATCTTACTATTCTGGAAAGCGAAATGCCCATTGCATTGACGCGAACATGACCGCTCTGTCGTACATGGCATACGTGGTATGCAGATCCATCTACAAAGCTTGGTCAGGATTCGCAAAGTGGGCGACTATGCCGTTGTTTCAGATGAGGGAAAGTTTCGCACTTGGCCAGCGCTATGATGTGCTTGGAAAGTGGGGATCTTTGGCGGCAGTGGATAGGGAAACGGGTGTGAGCAAGGATGTGACTGATGAGGAGATCATTCGCTTTGCCAAGGAACCTGAGAACCTCAAACAGTATGATCCCAACGGGACTTACACCTTGAAGCGCTTCCGGACGAACCAGATGCTTTCTTTACTTACACGGGGAGCCAACATGATGGGAATTGGCAGGGACAACTTCAACCCTACTACTTACTTGAAGAGCGACAGGGATGAAGATGTAAAGGCTATGCACTTTTGTTGCCTGAACGTCCTGTGCGAGGTGATCCCAATGGTGACGGGACACCAACAATTCTCAGTGCTACGACCAACGCCAACTGGACCAGTGGACTTCTTGTACATCGACCCCGTCGGTATTCTGCTGACTCATTCTGATCAGTCAGTCCAGACCATCGGCTTGCTGGTGGACCACAGTGTGCAAATGCCTGCGCATTTCATGGACAGATTGAACAGATCCAAAGCTGAGAGACAGCAAAACCCGACGACCAAGCGTACGGAAGCCCTACACCACATTTCGGCCGCTGACTATCTTCCTCCAGGTGGTACGTCCATCCTGGACACGCCTGTCACTACGGAGGAACGTGAAAGCACTTCTTCATCCAAGGGACCTTCAAAAGGGCGTGGAAGAACCGGAGGCGAGCAACATGGTGGCTGGAACACTAATTCCTACCACGACTACATCGCCGGCAAAGGTCGAAACAAAGGCAAGGACAAAGGAAAGCCGAGGAACCAGTATCCAGAGGAGAACCTCCGGCCCTGGGACCGCGATCCTACGTCAACGCGAAGATGGTGGCGAGACAACGCCTGATCTTCCTCGCCTATCAGTTCGTGACCTCTGAGCTTCGCCCGTGGAATGCCATCGCGAATGCTTCTTTCTTCGGTGACGCCTGATTCGTTTGTCATTTCAGGGGATCGTTACTGACGTAGATAAGTGTCACAACGTTTCTAATTGGATGCAAAGCTCTGATTTTCAATGTCAACGTTGCGGCGGAAATTTTCTGTTGTCCTATCGTGCCATCTTCCGGGTGAGCAGCGTCGGAGACGCAACTCATGGGGGGTGCGAACGGACTGCGATGCCTTGTCAAGTTCTAAGGTGTCACTAGAAGAGCTGTGAGCAAGACCGTGTAAAGTGCAAGAGAAGGGGGCACGCTACGCGTCCCTCGACTCTAGGGGGCATGCTACGCATCCCTCATCTTTACCTTTCTATGTGACCGCCAACGCAACGTTTGGCTCAAGTCAATGCCCATAGCTAAGTGCTATATGTGTCTTCTATCCTGAGCAATCAGAGCTATCCCGTTGCACAGACGAACCGCCGCCGGCAGTGAGTGCAAAAGGAACGGCCGCCGGTTCTGCCTGCATAGGATCGCACGTGTGGAAGTAAGAGGGAGAGACAGGGTCCAGTCTGTGGAGAGTGCTAGCCAGCCACACCTACATTCATTACAGCTCTGGTGGGGAGAGCAGCAACCAAGTCGAGATCAATCCCCCACGCAGAAACTAATGAAACCTTGCCCTCAAGAAAGAGAAGCGTCACATAATACATAAAGGTTTCTCTTACATATATATATACACATGCTTGCACATTTTTTACATATATATACACATACACACATACACAAACCCACATATATATATATATATATACATATACATATACATATACATACATGCATACATACCGGCATATGTATCCACATACAAATAAAATTATATATATATCTATATATATATATATTGTTTTGATAGATAGATAGATAGATAGACCCCCGCTGGTAAGTACATTTTTTCGTGGAAATTACTTTCCGGCCGGTTTTTGTCTTCTTTCTTTGGGTCCTATCAGAGGCTGATAGAAGCGCCCCCCCCTAATGTGGTACATCCTGTCAGCGCCCCCTATCAGCGCCTGATAGGATCCATCAGACACTTACAGGCAGCGCCGGATGCTCTGGGAAACCTCTTTTGTAAGGAGGAGCACCTTTTTCGTGTACGATTTGGCAGGGTTTCATCACTTGGTACATAAAAGAATTGGTTGCGACGTTAGGCCCCAACATCATTCCAAGGAAGCAGCATTTCGATGAGACAAGACTGAGAAGAATATGTGTGGCGAGCAACCGAAACTTGCAGCTTACAAACTGTTATGTTTCTTCGCTTGGTACGTAGAACACTACTAGGACGTGGTGTGCTTGAGCTTTAATCTCTAACACGGGGAATCACGTTCTGGACGGAGACACTGGCTTCTAATGGGGCTCCGGTCGTACTCACAAGAACACAAACATAAGTGTGGCAGGGCGCGGGACTAGCAAAGTCAACAGAGCTTGCACGCGATAAGGCTGATACGAACTCATTGTAAGGGCAAACAGTATTTTGCATCAATGCGGACAAGCTGCATGAGGCTTTATGGTTCGCAGTGGGCTCTACGAGATGGCTCCGATATGCTGATACAAGAAGCAAAGGTTTCGTCACTCGGTATATAGTAATAGTGTTACGTCTAAGAAGCCACACTCTGTGTGTACTGTCCGACAGGAAACACACTCTACACAACGTTTGCTAAGCGTGCATAGTATGCAAATTTGTTGGATTCATTTTGGGGGTATCATTATGCAGAGTTGAGAAATGCAACGCCCACATGCCCGCATAATGCATACGGGCACAGGGGTATGTTATGCAGAGGTGTATGTAGCCAAAAACCCAAGCAATGCATAGAAAAACAGACACGCTAGCGGGATTGCAGTATTGCAATACAAACATTCAAAACTCTTAGTTCTATAATTTAGTTCACCGTAGGGCAGGACTGAACCAGATTGATGGCTAAACGCGCATTCGCTAGTAATTTGGATCTACAAGGGTTTAGAAAGCAGTCGCACAGGCATGAAGTACAAAAATGTATCGACGCCTGCAAGGCAAGTGTCTTAGCACATTGTGACAGGGTCTCCACGATGTTGTTTTAGAATCAATGATGTTGTACGGGCTTCAGCTGGTCATCATTGTGAAAACATGGATGGTTACAGTGATAGGTGCCAGTACTTAGAATTTGCGACTTCCTGCGTTAGTCTCCCAAGTAGGTCTGTATAAACGGTGAGGAACACAACGGAATCATGGCATTTGTAAGGGGCAGATGCGTATTGGAACGAGCAGTGTAAGAGACATCCACGGTCATCCATCGAGACTTAGATACTGCGTATTTTATGTTGGCTTCGACGTGGACACAACGACATGTTTACTCACTGTTGTTTATATGCCTTGGTCCTGATTCAAGGATATCAAGGGTTCATAAACTTTGCCTGGGTTTATAAACTTTCGGGTCGTTTATAAGTCTGGTCTGCGGTCACAAGCTTGTCGAAGCTCAGGCTTTTGGCAAAAACGTAGGGGGGCCGGGGGGAATACCACGCAGCCCATTTTTACATCATTTATTTTGTATTTACGTATGTATGTAGGCATGTCGGTATGTAGGTAGGTATGTAAGTACGGAAGTATATAGGTATGTCGGTAATGTGTGGATACGTGGCGGTGTAGGTATGTCAGCATGTCAGTCTGCCTGCATGCCTGTCTTTTTCTGTATCTTTGTATGTTCGTACATCTGTATGTGTAGGTAGATACAGAAGTAAGTAAACATGTCGGAAAACGATCGACGTATTCATGACGTTGCTTTCAACCGAATGTGCATTGCATAATGCTCGTTTTCTAGCTTTGTCGCCGGCTCAACGAAGCGCATCGTCGCGAAGTCGACACCATCACTTATTCACTTTCACCCCTTCAAACATTCATAAGCTTGGTTTAGCCTTCGGCGACGCTTTCTTTTATCAGGACAGCGTCGTTGTGGCTGCAGCAGATGATGCTACGGCAACGGAGCCTGCCAGCTTCTGAGGAATCCGCCCGCCCATTCTGTTGGATGCGGAAATCCTACTCAGGTCGATGTCACTCAACTTGAGCGCAGTGGCCAGATTGCTGTTCTCGGTGTTCCAAACTCTGGAAAATCCTCCTTGGTCAATGCGCTTGTGGGCGCGAAGGCAAAGTGATTCATGGCTGGCGGTGGATCCTCGATTTTCTCATTCTCGGTGTGCCGTTGTTCTTCGGAGGTGTCCATTGTCTCGCCAAAGCCGCAGACAACGCGGCAAAGAATCTTGGGCGCGAGACTCAACTCCTCAAACTCCTGCCGGACTCCATGCACCATTCTGGTTTGCGTCCCTTGTTTGTTCCAAGAAGGCCTGGCTTTGCTTGCTCCAACTGCTGACTCCGCACCGACAACCCAGGCAGGTGCCCGAGTGTGGGATCAATCGATTCTTGTCATACCGTTCTGCAGGCCGTCTTCGCTGACACAGCTGGCATCATGGAGGTCGGTGAGTCCGTTTCGGAGTTTGCTTTCAGGCAGGGGTGATGACGCGATGCGTACAAGAAGATCTCTTCGGCAGCAAACGTGCTTGTACAGGCACAAACGGAAACGCTTGTTTCGACAGACGAGGCTCCACAAGGCACGGGCTGCGCCCAGCTACCAAGCGTGTGGCCGGACCCTGCGAGGCGATGGTGAAAACAGCATGGAAACAAACGAGAGTGTTGGCCCAAAGCATGGATGCTAGATGCCGAGCCGTCACGTGTAGTGTCACTTCAGGCATCCGATGCATTATTTTGGGTCTTGGATGCTTCAAAATGCTTGGCATACGGCGATTACATGCCCGCCTGCCAGAGTCTGAGCGGTTCCGCACAAGCTGGACCGGATGTTCCTCAGCTCTCGTGAGGGCAAAGTAGCTGTAGGTGCGGAGCTGGACGGCGTGTCAATTGGGCCAGCAGTGGAGGACTCCTGGTGGCGTGTCAGCACTTAGCGGACCTGGCCACTAGCCAGGAATCCAATTAGCCGGTCTTCTAGAAATGGAGGTGGCTACATCCTGAGCTTGCAGAAGAGCTCTCATTCTTGAGAAGGCTGCGACGCTTGAATGCAAAGGCCGGGGCATGCACAGCAGAGAGTAGATGTGAGCACCTCGTCAGCCCGAGCTCCGATCCTTCAGCTAAATGTACAGCGGCCGCCTATGTAACGATGCGTTCGGCTACGCCAGATTTATTTGATCTTTGGAGGTGAACGTGGTGCTCAACAAGGTCGACCTGCTTCGGGACATGCGCGTTGATGTAGAAGCTTTTGTGTCACAAATGAAGGTTCTGAGCTCAGTTGAGCCACACCTTCCAGAGGTCGCAGAGCTTTGTGCCAAAATGCATGATGTGGCTTTTCGTTAGGATGTGCTCCTTCAAGACTTGGGTGTCGACGCGAATGGTGAGGCCGCTATAACATCATAGCATGTTTTCTCTCGCATGCTGATGAAGAGGTTGTCGTGCAGCGGCTTTTAGACGTGGCCGGACTCGTCAAATTCGTCGGCGCTACCCTACACGCGGAGTTTTGTGTTCAGCATGGCCGTGTGCTGTAGTGACATGCGTACAACACGTTAGAACTTAACTTTCTGATATGAAAATGCTGTCAGTCCTCGTGGCTCGCGTGGAGGCTAGATGGGTAGACCAGGAAAACCCTACGGAAGGATCGATCCTTCTCCAGACCCTCACCGTGAAAGAACCGATCATTTAAAGCTGCTCCGCCAAAAGGAATCGCATCGTCGTAGTACCGTGCGGACGATGAGACTGCAGAAGGGTTAGGAACGTGCGGAGGATCCTGCGCAGATATGGCATGAAATGTAGGATATTGAGATAACCTGTGCATCCTCAACCTTCGAAGAGGTATCATGTATACATTCGACAGAAACGTGCAATCACAATCGTCGGCAGTCTAGGAATGAAGCAGCCATCTCGCGTCTCGATGAGGTGTTGCTGCAGAACCTGTGGCCAACCTCAGTGCTCAAGGATCCTGAATCTCTTGATCCGGTAAAAATGTCCTGCTCTCAGTGGAATGAAGTTTGCTTGACAGACGAATGGACAGGTTCAATTTGCCAAAGTGAGGTGGCTTTGTGAGAACCTTCCCAAGCAAAGGCCGGACCTGCCAGTGCGCGGAAAGGTAGCTTCGATGAGTTTTGCTTCGCGTCATCAACCCATCGGCCAGTCCGATTTACCCCGTGGAGAGCCTCAGCGACGTTCCTGCACGAGTAGCAGCTTCTGAGATCACCAGGGAGAAGTTGTCCTTCCGCCTGTATTATGTGCCTGTCGTCCGGGCATAACTTGGATGCCAGACTACTCCTCCGTGGCAGGTTCAATGTTCTGAGGGAAGAGGTTCCATATCAAATAGCGGTTCCCGTCTCAGCTGCGCCTGCCTTTCCACATTGACAGTTGAGATAGTTGGAGATATGCCAGCTGCAGTTTATGAACTATGCATGTGTGGTCGAGGTCATCAATGTGGTTTGGCAAGAGGAAGCGGATGGCATGCTTCGACTTGGCCAGAGAGTTCTCAGCATAGTTGTGCCAATGCAGAGTCGTGATGCGTGCCTGTGCTGGATGCACTCCAGCGGCGAAATGCACGTTGCTGCTGTTGAGGTTATTGTCAACAACGAAGGGCAAGTCAAAATAGTTCGATCTTGGCTCAGCCCCCAACAGCCCGCTGCTGCAGATGAGCCATGTAGAAGTTGGATCAAAGCTCGAGGCTAAGACAGGTGACCGAAGAAGCTGAAGCGGAAATTTCAGAAATCGTGAATTTGGGCAGGCTTGGCTGACTGATCATTCCGCTGCCATTGTGCACATCTGGGTGCTGATTGCTGCAGGCCGGTGGAGCTCCACTTCCAGATTCAGGCATGGCTCGTTGCTCTTCAATCTTCTCCCACCATTTACTGACCTCAGTATTTCGAACGAGGTTGATCCAAAGTGGCAGGAAAAGGAAGATTATTATCAGGATCTCCAAGGTCTGCTAGACCGGAGTGGTTCCCTTCTTTTCCCACAATAGAGATTGGCTCCGGATCTGGCCACGTCGCGGCACTGCGGAAACAAATCCTCGAAGTCCGCAACGCTCGGCAACATGCAGCAGTCTTCGATTGTCACAGGCGCAAGCTGCTTGACCGCTGCTTGTATGTATAAGACGTATAAGACTATGTAGTCTGACGGAGCTTCAGAGAATGCCGAATAGGGAACTGATACTGTGGGAGCTGGATTTTATGACATTCTACTCAGGCTGTCTATTGGAGTCCTGACCGTTTTCTGCCTTCGGCGCTGTGTGCATATTGAAACCAACACAGACGATGCGGAAGCGCTGAAAGTAGTGCAATCCGCAGGCTCAGAGTGTGAAGCCAGTCCTGTGAATGGTCTTGGTTTGTAACCCCATCGTGATAGGTCGGGTGTGGCGATGCTTTCTGAGCTGCAGATGAGACGAAGATTCCACATGATTGCGGAGGCATTTGCTGAGTTTAGGCCCAAACTGCATGGTTTAATTCCCTGGCCGCCATTCACCAAGAGTGAAGCATGGCCTTAAATACTGTCCTTGGCCAAGCGCTCTCTAGAAACAAGGCGCGGGGAAGCACTCAATGCCCGAGTGCTGAAGTGTCTACAACAGGCGCATGAGAAGGTGGACTTGTGGAAAGAGCGAGAGATTCAGGCGAAGTCTTGCAACCAGTCAGATTGACACCGGCGCTGGTATGGTTACGTGGTTATCGCCTGACAGGACAAGGGTAGTCGATGCACCATTTCGTTGAAAAGCCGAAAGGGTGACGTTGCCTGCACCTCAAGAACAAATCTGGCAGCATATCGAAAGAAGCCAATTCCTGCTCAAGGTCCGCCAAGTTACCAAGGTTCCTGAAGGTGCTGAGGCCGGAGAAAACGATCCTGACAGCTGTTCTGCAGAACTCTGGCGCTCATGTCTTTGCAGGTGACGAGTAATGTGGTGAACCAGTTTGAGACAGAGCAGACCCGAGACTTCCCAGACAATGTACGGCCGGTTGGCATTTGCTTCTAGACTTGCGAGGATAGAGAAGAGAACGCAGCCAAGAAGGAGGTGTTCGCTGTCTGTCTGGAGATCACGCCATCCTTCATCACTTTCTCAATCCCTTGGAAGGATGAGCTGTTGGCTCGACTCGCCAACGGCAAGGCACTTCCGACTTCGGAGCCACGCACGTAAAGTCATCCGAAAATTTTCAGGATCCAGCTTGGCGTCCTGACCAATACCTCTCCCAACTCAAGGGAAAGGACTGGACTCCATATCATTACTTGCACCTCTTGCAATCACATTGTCCTTGAAGGGCACTTCGAAACTGAAGCTGCGACCAGATTTCTTGCGGATGGATCCTGCATTCTTGCAGAAGGTCCCGTCTTAGCTTGTGGAGCCTTGACGCCAATTCGCAACCACCGTATTCCCTTGCAAGGTCGTTGCAGAGTACAAGGCTCAGAAAAAGGCTGCGAAGAAGAAGAAAAAGAAGAAAAAGCAAAAGAAGGAGAAAAAGGCAGGAAAGAAAGACAAAAAGGATAAGCAGCTTGTAAAGGCAGCGAAAAAGGAGAAGAAACGAAGTAAAGCCAGAGAAGCAAGCCAAGATGACTTGCCGGGCAAAGAAGTGAAGAAGGAGCGTCACGAAGTGAAGGAAAAACGAAGAAAGCGAATAATGCTCGATGACGCTGGTCAGCCTACTGGAAAAGAAGAGCTTGAGGTGCTCGAGGCCGCTTTGATCCGCCTTGCATCTGCATTCGCTCGCTCCCAGTGTCACAACTCGCACAGGTCAGAAGCAAAATCACTGTGAGCCGAAAGCACGCCGCGCGGGAGGTTGAAGCTGACACAATGGACGAGGTTGTGCTATGTTGTTGTCCCATGTTTGGCACCTGGGGGACGCTGCCACATGCAATGTCTGCAGGTCTCTGTGGCTGAAGCCAGGGCCTCTGAGATTGCGTCAAAGCTCCGTCAGCAGGCCCATTGCCACATCCCTGCTTTTCTCAGACTCTGTTGCGCTGCTGGCATGCTGAGCAGGTCCAGGCAAGTTGGAACACGTCCCAACCCTCGCCGAGCACCGGTGGATGTCATAGCGAGACGATCATGAATGATAATTGGTAGTTTGCGTTGGTCTCTGTGTTGAAGCACTGAAGGCGGTAGCTCAGAGTCATCGAGCTCAGATAACGACATGGAGGAATGCCCGAGTGAAGAGCTAGCAGAGGACGGCGACCTGTTTGCCTTGCTGTGGGATGGTCGCGTCACTCCCTGCAAGGACAGCAACACTGAGTGACTCCAGTGAAGGACAGCTGGAACCTCCGGTTGTGCTGCTCTAGTTGCTCCACTGTCTGGCTCAGAGAAAAGTGGTCTCGGGCAGAAGTACTCCTCACATGCAGTTGTCGTCTGAAGCTAGCGCCTTTGTCTGAAGCACACGCCCTGGTCGGGGCTGACAGGATGCGGAACTCGCACAGGCGCATTGATACGTGAGGAAGCCTCCGTGTCTTCCGCCAAACATGGCAAGACGTGCCTTGTTGCTGTAAGCGCAGTTCATCATGGGAAGTACAAAAGTCCATGCAGACAATATTGCGTTTGCAGGTCCCATCAGCCGTACTCTCGGCAAGAGAACAGCTGCCTTATAGATGCCGTTTTGAAAGTCACTCGATGGGAGCCGTAGTTGGCGACTCTACAGTATCAAGCGCTAGGCGAGATGTCTAACAAAGCCTGAACAAGCGCCACACTTCCGAACTGCGATGCCGCAAGGGCTGCTGCAAGCACGATGGCGCGGCATCGGAGCAGCGCCTCCTACGCAGCCACCCACAAAACTTCCAAGGACTCGTGCTGAGACTGCAGTGCCGGCGTCGCAATCGGTAGCCGGGCAGCCAAGCAAGGGTGGGCAAAGTGGAGCACGACGTTGATTTTTTTTGTTTTTCTCCGTGGTTGTCGTGTCTGCCAAGGTCATGACGGAGCCCTGCTCAGACAAGGCCACGAAGCCAAAAGCCAACATGTCAAAGGGGAAGCAGCAGAAGACGAAAGATGCGGAGGCGATTTGCAGATGCTGAGCCATTGCAAGACGTTTGGCATGATGAAGGATGTCGTTTCCGACACTTTTGCAGTTGTGCTGCCGCTGGGATAGTGCAATATGGATCCAGTGTCAACTGTCAAGGTCACGACGACTGAGCGAAGTGGTCACGAAAAGAAAAGCAAAGGGATTCTGTCGCAGCTGGACAAGGTGGGTGCTGCTTGAGCTGAGGTTTATCCTTTCGCGGAGGAACTGTGTTTTTGTCTGATCACGTAGACAATCACAAGGCTGGTTAATTTGTGGTGCCTACGTGAAGGCACGCGCCAAACGCGCGAGGCAAAAGCGCCGGAAGATGGCGCGGGAAAAGGCCAAAACAAAGGACCCTGAAGCAGGGAGCCTAGCGCCGGTGAAGACTGTCCATGGTTACTCAAGAACTGGGCTTTTGCTTCGGCAGCTTCAGGAACAGCTGCAGAAGGAAGCGCAAATGTGCATCCTGTGCAGATGCTGATCGCACTTGCGATGCCACTCTGAGGAAGCGTCGTCGTATTTAGCTGCGTGGAAGGCTCACCAGGCTCACCTTTAGACGCTGACAAGCATAGTCAGAAGAGCCAGTCGCTGATGCTTCAGGATTCGGGCACGGCTTGGCGGTTCAACAAAGCCACCCAGGCTGGGTCACCCGTAGTTCGCCAGGGAGAGGCCATGGCCGTTGCCGCATGCGGCAGGCCTGGCTGCTCCGTCACGCATACGAACCAGAGATGGTTCCCAAAAAGGTTTTTCAGCTCCTGCTCAGGCTTTTGCAACCTCTGAAGCGTAACCTTTGTCAGTGTGTTCCATGGTCAGATACCTGGCCGGCTTGAGTGGTGCCGCTCGAGATCGTGCTGTGGCAGAAGCAGGCTCAAGCCGTTCCAAAACTGAAGAAGCCGCGATCCAAGCCTGCCAGGTGCTCTTGTGACTTTGCAAGGCGCCGAAGTGCCCAAGGCCGGCCAACTTGGTGAAAGGCCGCAAGAAGCCTTCTTGGTCCTTTAGTTCAACGGCTTGCTAGCACACTCGAGCTCCCGTGAGCATTGCATGTGATCACGGGTTCAGGGTATCTCCAAACAAACATGCAGTGACTGTTGATTTGGAGGCTGGGGCCACTCAATCGAAGTCGGTTCGATCGAAGAGGTCACGAAAGGCGAAGGCATTGCTGTTGCACGACGTCATCTTTCTTTCTGAACATACCTTCCGGGCAAGTGGGCTATGTGGAACATTGTGGAACCAGTTTTGCTCCTACACATCATCTTGAGGCATCAGCAGCCAACGAAGAAACGGTGCCTGAAGCCGTCGAGCCAGAGGACTGCACCTTCTTGTAGATAAACCTCGATTCCTGGTTTGTCATGCCCCGAACTGTCGCGTTCTTCCAGGATGCAGCAGATCGTGCAAACGAGGAAGAGGCCCCATTCTTGAGCCACCTGAATGAAGAGCCACCGAAGTCGAATAGCCTTGTTTCTGAAATCATGCACAACAGCAGCCGGCATGGTGTCTCATTCCTGGCCACAGATTGCATGCTCTTTACTATGAACCGACAAATGGACTTCTCGTCTCTTCTCCTGACCTAACTTGCGCATTCATTTTAGGAGTACATCGCTGTCGTTTTCTCCTGTGATGTCGACCGGAAATGGCCCCCAATTCCTCTTGCTGGATTGTCGTGAACTGTGCCTACAGTTTGGTCTTTCAGGCCGTCTTGTTTTTGGTTGCGCAAGTATCAGCAACGATGGTGTTTCTTGGAAGGCGAGACAGCGAAAGGCAAGATTGGCTCGGGCAAAAAAGGCGTGCAGAAAAGCCAATGTCAGTTGCTTTTGGCATAGCGTCACTGCAGGTTTTGGAGGTCCTGGAGCGCGAGCCCAGCTAGCCCTGGCTTGCGAGTGGCTGCTAAGCTGCTAGTGTGTTTTCGGAGGACTAGGCGCGGCGAACTGCCTTCGAGAGGAACGCCGAGGAACTTCCCCTTCTGCAGCGTGATTCCATATGGCCACCGGCCACCATCGAAACTTCTGCCGGAGTGATCACCGGCCGAAACCAGACGGCGACGGCTGTTTCAGCATGTGCAGCAAGGGGACTGGGCCGTAAAGGGATGCGTCACGTGGAAGCACTCGTTCGAAGCAGAGCCCGACAGCTGCAAAAGACAGTGTGTGCAGGCCGTGTGACCACAAACAGGCTCGCATTTTGCAGAGTATATCAGGGAGTTTGGTTGTGCTGTTGAACTTTTGGTTGCGGGATCTGTATGATATGATCTTCTGCGCAGCCCATTGTTTCTCACTTCGACTAAGCCTCATGCAGGCATTCCAAGAGGTGTGCACGTCGCTCCTGGTGCCATTTTCTAGTCCGGCCAACAGCTGGGATGATTGGATGCAGGCGACGAACCACGCTTCAGAACTTGCCCAAGCAGCCCGCTGTGGTCATGCATCGCTTGCACAAGTCCGGAGCCGCCTGAACCATTGGCAGAAACCATTTGCAACCTCTGGCTCAGCTAAGACCTGGGAGAACGTGCTTTGCGAATGCTGCCATGCTTTTATTGAGCACTGTGCGGAGATCGTTGAGACAGCTGGCATACCCCCAAGGTCCGCATCGAATGTCTTGGGAGCGGCTGTTCGACTTGCTGAGGTTGTGGGGAAGACAGGGCTGCTTCTGGCAGCCGTGGATTCGGATCTGTCGCTGATGTCGGAAAGGCTTCAGAAGCTGGAGCTGTTCTACGAAGTTTTGGTGCCGCGGGTCGAAGCTATAGCGGGCGAGGCCTCCGTTGCGGATACCCGGGCCAAGAAGGCAGAAGAGGAAGCTGCACAGATGAAGACGGAGTGCCAGCGACTGACAAGATCGCTTCGTCACAAATGCACGGCTGCAGAAAAAAGAGCTGCTGACCTCGCGAGACAAGTAGCGCAACTTCGAGACAGAAACAGTCTCAGACGCAGCCCGAGCCCAGCTGGCCCGAAGTCGCTCAACCTCGCCGCAAACGCCGTGCAAAATTCCACCAGCAGAACGCGAAGTTCAGAGTCCGAGGATTCAAGCTCCAGCAAGCTTTTCCACACGGCAGATGGGGATGCAGAAGAGTTGTCGCTCGGAGAAGAACCCGAGCATGCTGCTCGTGTTTGGCATGCAACGGGACCAGGAGGGCAAGAGGAATCTCCCGAGATTTTTGCATCGTCGAGGCTCGATCCTTTGACCAACTTCGCAGATGCAGCGCTCGGGCACTTGTTGTCGCTTGTAAAGCAAGCGCATCAGTCGCACCCAGAGTTGCCACTGCCTTGGCAGCACACTCCCTCAAGAGATGCAGTTGATGTCGGCGAAACTGCCGAGGCTGCAACTGCCTGGGCAGATTGCGTACTTGCAGGTCGTGATCCCACACTCGCATCCTCAGTGAAGCAATCTGCAACACATCTTCACTGCATGGCAGATCTGCTCAGTTCTTCACGGTCTGCTCAGTGACACCGCACACTACCACCTTGGAAGTGAACACAGTAAGCCACCTGCGAGCTTGGCTGAATTACAGAATTTCATGTGACAACAGCCTGCACTCATCGACTTCCAAGTGCGGCAAGGCTGAGTGGTTCTTGGCAGTGCTTGCTGTGGTCGCTTACCGACGAACTGCCCGCCCACTGCCCTGAGACATACTACCAATGTGATGTGAGGCATACGGATGGCAGCGTGATTGGAATTGCAGAGCGCGCAGCGCACATCGCCCTCCAACGCGTGTTGAGCTCCTCGCGGACGCGATCCGCGACAGTATCCACGATTGGAGCGTTTCTGGCAAGTTCGGCGTCTCGCAATCTTGACCTAGCTTGCGCATACAGGCTGACGGAGACGAAAATGTGCATCCAGCCATTCACATTTTTGTACATACATGCATCCATGCAGCCATGCATCCACGCATCCATGCATCCATACATGCATACATGCATACATGCATACATGCATACATGCACACATACATACACACGTACATACGCACACACATACATACATGCATACATACATACATACATATAGCCAGTTTCATATCCGTGCTGCAAGTTCCATTGTTCCAAACTCGATAAACGAAAAGTTTCCAACAACTCCGACTCCCACATGTCACGAGTTTTCTCTCTGGTGCTGTTACAACCTCCTTCTCAATAATGCCCCCCCCCTCTCTCTAAAAACGGTGTATATACATACACGCACATATGCATGTTCCATCAACATACACATATATATGTATAAGATATGTATATGTATATGTATATGTATATGTACATGTATATGTATATGTATATGTATATGTACATGTATATGTATAGGTATATGTACATGTAAATGTTTCTGTATATGTATATGTGTATGTATATGTATACCTATACGTACAGATATATATATATATATATATATATATATATATGTATATATGCATACGTATGGTACATGTATACGCTAGCGCATGGATGACTGTCGCGCTTTTTTGCTGTTTCCGGTGTCTTGGCGTTTTTGCTGTTTTCGGGGTCTTGGGGTCTTAGGGGGGTGGGGGGGGGCTGATAACGTCCACTTCACCACCATCATCATGATCATCGGCATCCTTCTATGTCCTTGTCATCATCGTCGTCATCCTCGTCATCATCACGGCATGGTCATCGTTTACGTTCCGGTACTCACATCATCCCTACATGAGGTTAGAGCTTCAGGGTTCCTTTTGAATCTAATTCCTGTGTAGCAGCAGGCAGGCTCGGCTTCTGGGGTTGAGATCTCTCTCAGAAGCATCACGTGTACTGACACATGTTCAGTGGCATGCTAGAAGCTAGCAGCGTTTACATCCATGGACACAAATTTCTTGCAAAGACTGCTGCGCAACTGAAACACCTGAGCTCCTGAACAGCGGAGCACGTGTGCAAAGAAATCTGCGGATTCCTTCAAGTATCTTCCGAATAAGACCCTCAACGCAACAACAACTACACGGTGCCCCAGCAAAAAAAAACGACCCAAAACACAAAATTCGGCTCCCGCCGAAAACAGCTAGTTCTAAGCCTAGAAACCGCCAATTGTAAATACCGAGGAATTCCTGACCTGTGACGTCCGATGTGGCATCTATTTTTTGGTTCCCCAAAATCGTGCTGAAACCACACGTTGCCTGGCCTTGAAGCATAACGTAGCACTTTTTTTAATACCCCAAACAAGCTTGAAATGTGCTGAAAACTGTGGTGGGAACACTACTTCACCACAAAATCCCCGACAAAAAATCATGCGGCGGGATGTATATGCATATGCATTTGCACATGGACATTTGCATTCTTATATGCATTGTCTGATTGTGCATGCATATGTATATGTGTATGTGTATGTATATGTATCTGTATCTGCATGTGTATGTGTACGTGTATGTATATGTGTACATGTAGTTGTAGATGTATTTGTATTTGTAGTTGTATTTGTGCAGGTGTGTTCTGTTCCCTTTAACCCCCCCCCATGGGTATCCTCCCCAAATTTCAACCACACTGGTCTGGAGCCTCAGGCGCCTGTGTAGAGCGCCGCTTTTCCAGACAGAGAGAGGGGAGGGTGAGGGTGACTATCTATCGAAGGCCGAAACCAAAGCACCCAACCATTCCACACGCAAGCTCCAGGCCCAAGCCGTTCCACAGAGGAGGCGGGGGAACTCCAACAGTAGCGATGAGGAAGCTGAGTTGCTTTTATCATCGCCCAAAAAGGAAGAGTCCTTTTGCCCTTCACCCACTGCTCCAAAATCATCATCCGCGAGCTTACTATTTCTTGTTAGAGCTGTGACACGACAACATCTGCACAAAGACAGCAACCGCTGCTTCATAGTGTTGCGACCACGACCGTCCGACGGGAATGGCTCAGCCAAACGAAGAAATCAAGTGTCTGAAATGAATCGTGGTTTTTGTGCTGGCAAAGTCTCCGCATTGGATGTACAAGTCCAGCGACATCCAGCGACACTAGCAATGGATTGATGGCATGTTTCCGCGTGCTTTCGCGAACCTGGTGGAGCTCTTTTCTTTAGGGATCTGGGAGTACGGTTGGGTGCTCAAATAAGAGCTTCTGGCATCTTAATTCCTACTCCACTTGTTCCTCTTCAAGAGTAGCCGGTCACCTCCAGTCGCACGCGGATCGCCTGAGAAACAGCACTTGCAATTACGCTGCGGACCATGCCTTATTGCTGACGACAATATCCACCTAGCCTATCCTCCGCACTTGCAGGGGCTGTCAGAGAACATCCTTAAGTACACCCCAAAAAAGGTGCACCGCATGGCCTCGAGACGCCGCTTGCGT